AGTGGCAGCCACGTGACTACATACCCTATCATGCAGTGCGGCACCTGACATGACGTTCTGACAGAGGCGGGAAGCTCGCGGAGTTTAGCGCGAAAGAGGAGGGAAGTCAGGGCCTTGGTTTTCAAAATACAACGGGGCAGCTCGTTAGGTTCCAACAGATTGCCACAAATTTTATTGTTTGATAGGCCAAGATCTGGGCTAACGTCAACTCAGGAAAGCTGAAAACTAAATGGGTGTCTTTATTACATTATTATTCTTTTACAAACCCTTTTCTCTGGTTTTTATTGCAAAACGTTTCATACCAGTTTTATATTTTGAAATCCATAAGGGGAACTGGCTGTTTTTTTCCGACCGCTTTGAAGCTGTCGGTGATCCCTGGGATTCCTGTTAGCATCCCGACTTTCCTGCATCATTTGCATCATTTCATCCTGTTTTCTGACCGTCTCCGAGCCCGTGGTTGCTGCGGGTCCCTGCCGGGCTGAAACGCCTCTGCGCCGGCTCACAGGAGCAGGTGCAGTCGGTGACTGATGGTGTGGATGCTGGTTTTCTCTGGGCATTGGATGCGGACTGACGGTGGAAAATCGGCACTGTAATCTCCAGATTTTAGCTGGAAACAGGAGTCAGCCCAGGGATTTTCTGTAATTTCAGATTCGGAGGCTTCGTCTGTGGAGTGAGTGTCGTGTTTTTGTGAACGGAACCTCGGTCAGAACCCCGGGGTTTTTATCGAGCCGGTGTCTCTTCATGTTCCCCAATCAAAGCTCGATGTACGTTTCTTACAGCAGCACATGTTATATATTTATTTTTCATAGTAACCGTCCTGTAATGTCCCAGATTAACCTTCAGACTACATTTTAGTGCTGTTCCGGGTCATTAGTTAAGGAAATGTTCCTGCTTTTTGTTAATATAAATGTTCCTGTAACCACAGTTAGCACAGACGTTAGCTGTAGCCTCCTTTACTGGAATTACTTCTGGTTTGACTGACGCTTCATAATAGTTTACTGACATTTCGCCACTTGGTACAAAACGTCCTTGTAGTTGCTGTTTTAGTTTTAGTAGTAAAATGTTCTCCCCAAACTTTATTCTGTAATCAAATAGCAACCGTGTCATAACCTCACACATTCTACTTGGAACATCTCCACAAGAAATCTGTCATAATTTGTGTTTGACGTTACGTTAGACAGTCTTTACTGTAATCTGATCGGTTCTTATGTAGCCTGAAAACGCACCAGCTGTCCACGTCTCCACACCTGTTCAGGTAAAGGCGTTAGTTTACACTAACCCAGGTAAAGTGGTCGGAAATAGCTTTTACCTTTGTGTCCACCAGTGGAATAATTTCTTCTCATCGGGGGGTTTTAACGCCTGCCAGTCTCCACACAGCCCATGACTGTTAGTATTAAGGCCTCTGGTTGTTTTAGATGAGATACAGGTTATTAGACAATCATGGTCATTGTCGTGCTTTCTATCACAAATCAAAGGTAGACCGATTTGTGTGTGTGTGTAAAGGTATGACAACCTTTTTGTAAGTTTAGTGGCTAAACTGCTGCATTTATAACATATATAATGTAATTTATAAAAAACAAAATGACAGGAACTACACAAGATTAAACTTCTTGTTTTGTCAATGTGTGAGCAGTTTGAAACTCACATTTCTGGCACGTTTGTACGGAGGGTTCAGGTTGGAATTATAGAGGGTGTAGCATTAAAGAGACCACAGCAATGGACTACAGGGACCAGCAGCAGGTTTGGGTGGACACGGATGTGACTGTTTTGGGGTTGGTACTGGAGAGACTTTTTTTAATCGGATGCTCCATCAGTGTCGGACCAGACAAATCTGTTCAGTCCTGATCAAACTTCCTGGTTCAATCCAAAAGGGTATTAGTGATTTATTTCCTTTGTGGATGTTTGATGATGAGTTTTGAACGAACATGACTGATAAGACAGCGCCACGCTGCCAGTTGAGGCTGGAATGGATCCACGGGTACAGAGGCCACCAGTGTCGAAACAACCTGTACTACACCGCAGGAAAAGAAGTGGTGTACTTTGTGGCTGGGGTGGGTGTGGTCTACAACACCCAAGAACACACCCAGAAGTTCTACCTGGGACACAGCGATGACATCATCAGGTGAGGAGTCTTGTGGAGGTGGTGCAGTATTGGAAATCATGTTGGAGCCGGGCCGAATCCAACTGATAAAGCCCATTAATGAGGTGTTTGAATCTAACTGTTTAGGCTGGTTGATGAGTAGGGCAGTTGATTTCCATGGAGACAGCAGATGAAGCTGTGAGGACCCTCATTGACATAATGCATCCCCTAGCCACTTAGCCTAACCTCAACCTCATTCTACCCTGAACCTAAAACCTCCAAACAATGTCCTCACAGTGATGGTTTTCAAACAAAAATGTGTCCAGCTACAGGTGCTGCTACAGGCTCACCTGTAGGTCTCTCTCTGACCCAGTTCAGCAGCAGCAGCTCAGTCTGGTGGCTCAAAATCAGCCAGAAACAGAAAACAAACCAAAATTTGAGCTCAGAGGCTTTTTGTTTGAGGATGGGCCCACTCCTGAAGGGCCCTGGGCAGGAATTAGTTACCGGGCCCCACACACCCAGAAATCAACCAGAACTCTAGAGCTGAAATGAATAATAACCTCTGCCAAGGTCAGGGGTTACGTTTTTACAAGCATTTGTTGATTTGTTTGCTGGTTGGCTCGTTGACAGCATAACACAAAAAGTAAATAATGGATTCTGATCAAAATGTTTGGAGAGATAGGGTACAGCCCACAGAACGATCCATTAGATTTCGGTGATGGCCGGATCATCATCCAGATTTTTTAAGCAGTCTTCACCATTGTGACTCTTGGAAAAGCTGTTGACTATATGTGCGCCCCCATTGTGGTGAAAGTGCATGCTGCGTTGCTGAGCTAATACAGCTGTGTTTCCACTGTCGGAACCCAACGAGCAGTACATCCTGTGCTTCCCTTAACCATCACCCGGCATAACTTCACAGGTTGGCACAGACCGTCCTGCTTTGCTTCTCTGAGTTCTTCCCTGTGTTGGCTGCGTGGAAATCCACCTTAGAGTCTCTTTCCCAACAGGCCTCCTGCTCCCTTTATGGGGTTTTTCCAAATGTGTGGAGCGGAGTAACGCTCTTCACGGGTTCTGCGTTTGTCTCCACTGCGGTGCGCCCGCTTTGGAGCTGTGCTCCAACAGCTAAATTTTAGCACTGCTCAGGGGGTAGTGCTAAATTCAAGTTCCAGGAAGGTGGGGGGTGGTGCAGAGCAACCACTCGTTAAGTAGCGGTGTCTTCACACCTCAGCTATTAGTGGCATTATGGGGAATCTGAGCTGCCTTGGCAGAGGTTTGTGCTCTGAGTGCTGTCTGATTAATCAGTTAGTTAGCTGAGAAATTGAGAATATTAATTGATAGATTACATTTAAGTTAATTTTTAAGTAAAAATGCCAAAAGATCTCTGGTTTCAGCATCTCATGTGAATATTTCCTGGTTTCTTTTGAAGTCATCAGAATAGATGAGACCAGACTTTGGACCAAGACACTACAGGGACTGTCTACAGAGTCCATCAGTAAAAGCCTACTACAAAAATATTAAATAGCCTAACTAGTTCCTATAAAGTGTAATGGGCCTACAGTCAAATTCAGGCTGACCATCAGGGCCTCCTGTTGATTATACTATAACACTTAGATTTTTTGGGGAATTCTTATTTGGAAATATATTCAATAATGTCACACAGGCAAGCCAGTACCATCAAACTATCAAATTCAGTTTAGCTACACTGGTCTGCTCTTGGTCTGGAGTCAATCTCAAGCCTTTAAGCCTTGGTCTTGTCTCATTCTTGATATGCTCCTGTCTTGGACTTGTTTTGCCAGTCCCACAGCTTTTATTTCTACTCTGAGGGTCCAGGAAGCTAGATCGTTTGTGGTCACTGTATATCCAAGTGCTAAAGTTGTCAACTGGGCCTGTTTGCTCACTTCTGAACTGAAGAAGCTTTGCGAATAATGGGTGAAACTTCTTCATGCTTTAGCACTTTGAATATGCTAAACACCATGATAATACTCTGCCATCATTAGAAACAGATCAGGGTTCAGAGGGAAAGACGTAGCATTTTTGTAAACACGTTTCCTGTCACATGTCTTCAGCTGGATGGACCAAGACGCAGATGAAGCAAACATTGCCAAGTTCTTGTTTTGTTTTTTGTTTCTATAATACTGTGTAAAGTGCCTTGAGATGATTTTTGTTATGATTTGGTGCTATATAACAAAAACTAAACTGAAGTGAATGGAGGCAGTGAAGGGACCTAGGATGTAGATAGAGTACCTCCTAAGAGTAGATGAGTGATGTGTGATGGAGAATCTGTCAGGGGGCACTGACAGGAGTTTAAGCTGTGAGTCTGGTCCCTCTGTCTCAGTCTGGCAATGCATCCAGACAAGATCCAGGTGGCGACAGGTCAGGTGGGGAAGGACCCATACATTTGTATTTGGGACACCTACGCCATGCAGACCGTGTCCATCCTGAGGGACATCCACACTCATGGAGTGGCCTGTCTCGCCTTCAACTCCGATGGACAGGTGAGATCACACCCCGTCACAGAAGTCTAAATGCTTGTTTTCCTACTTAAAATACTGGCTACTGAATCATTTTAGAGACACTGTGATTAACTGGTTAGTCATTTAAAAGAAAACTAAGCAGCAACTACAACTGATTAATCTTTAAAGTTGTTTTTTGGGGCAAACGTGCCAGTTTAACCTTTGAAAGGTGACGATTTGCTGCTTATACAATTTAGTGTCTTTGCTGCTAACATGCTGCTGACCTGATTAGGTCCCATACATCCCTTTTTATTTGTTCATAGTTTTATATTGACATATACAATTTAGTGTTATGTAAATAATGTGTCTTTTAAGTCAAGAGCTGCTGGAAAAAAAATTTCATAGTGCTATGCATAATCCATAAAATGAATAACTAAAGAAGAAGAAATAAATGCAATCAGTCCAAAGGAAGGTAAATAAAGTACCATTCAAAAAGCCCTTTGATCTCACATGATAGTAAATTGAATAAGATGTCGCCTTCTACTGTCGGATATTGTGACAGGTATTTTTCACTGTTTTATGGTGTTTTATAGATCAGAAATTGGTTGAGAAAATCATGGACAGATTCATCAATGATGAAGACAGTTGTTAGTTACAGCCCTGTATGGTACAAATACAGTATATGAAACACCTGCACATATAAACTCTTGATACTGGAAAAACACCAGAGGCCCCAGGATGCTGCCTGGAGGAACTCCAGTGTATGTTGTATTATGTAACTATGTATATGTAATACTTCTGTAACAACTCAGTTCATTATGACATGTCAGTCAGTTCATCCTCCAGCCCTGTGGCTTGAATGTTGAGCTACATGATTTTGAGCCTCTGAACAAAGTGAAACTAAACAGATCTTTTCTTGACTTTTTAATGTTTGTCTTTTTTTTTTTTGTAGCGCCTGGTGTCGGTTGGTCTGGACGCCAAGAACACAGTGTGCGTTTGGGACTGGAGGAGAGGACGAGTCATTGCCACGGCCACCGGTCACTCGGACAGAGTACGGCTCTTCAGTCATTCATGCTAACAAGAAGACAAAAGGAAAGAAAGATGGCTGAGAAGCTGCTGTAACAGGAAAATGAAAAAGTTGTAGATTTCAAAGGATTACTATTATGTAACTATGGATTATCCATCAGAAAATAGTTTCTATTTTCTGCTACAGTTCTTTATTATTTTTTATTAGATTTTATGCCAGTGATGTTCTGAAAAATAATACAAATAATAAAACAATATAAAACTATTTCTTAAAACATAAATACAACAAATTGCATCCAAACACTACACACATCAACAATGCCAGTTTCAGTATTGATGGGTTCAGTGTTGTACCGATGATGTTTTCTCTGCAGATCTTTGACGTGGCCTGGGATCTGCTCCAGTCGAGCCGGCTGGTCAGCTGCGGAGTCAAACACATCAAGGTGAAACCAGACCTCCATGTTTGTGTAACAGGACAGATGGTTTCACTGAATGTCTCCTTTTTTTACCTTATGAGCTACTGTTTGGTTTTAACAACATTTCTTTGTGGTTTCCAGTGTCTGATTGTTGTAACTGACGTTTTGTTAGTTTACACATATATCAAGCTGCAATAATGATAACTGTCTGATATGATGATAGAAATCTTTATCTTAATTTTGTTCTGTGTGTGCAGTTCTGGACTCTGTGTGGAAACGCTCTGACTCCGAAGCGAGGGATGTTTGGGAAGATGGGTGACCTGCAGACCATCCTGTGCGTTTCTGCAGCCAAAGACGAGGTGACGTACTCCGGGGCTCTGAACGGAGACGTTTACGTGTGGAGAGGAATCACACTGGTCAGGACCGTGCAGGCTGCACATGGAGTAAATATGTGCATACATACACAATAACTAATTAGTCTACAAAGTAGTTGATGTTTGATTTAGTACAGTTCTGCTCTATTGCAGAGAGACACACACCAACCGAAAGAAGCAGAGTCATGTGCAGTGTTCTGTTATCAGGGCCATGTGAGCAAAATGGGGAGATCTCACAATATGCTCTCTTTAGTGACATAGTTGGTACACAGACTAATCTACTTTAAGCAGAAAGCAAAAACTCACCAGCGCATTCAGCCCTGTGTAAAGAAAACAAGGTTTTAAAATAGTATGAAAAGGTCAAACATCTCAGAACGAACTAGTAAGAAATAAGGTCAAATAAAATAATGATTTATGACATTTTTCTTTTCACTTCAGTTTAACTGTCAGCAGGTTTCGCTCCAGAGTCGTCGTAGTATTTTGGAAGACATTTTAATAAATGTTAACAGCCTTCACACATGTGAACAAATACAATATATACCTGCACAAGAAACAGGAAGTAGAATGTTGCCATGGCTACAATATGTTACACAGTTAAGGAGGGATTTTCTGCTTTTTAGCCTGTATTTGTTTAGGTTTGGAACAGAATTAGCTGTTAATGGTTAGTTTTTGCTGCGTGTCATTGGATGTACTGTGGTACTGAAGGAAAGTTTAAAACCTCATGATTCTTGGACAGGTTCAGTTCCAGCTTAACTGTATATTATCTCATGAATATCAGATAGGAAGTCATAATTATGTAAAAAGACTCCCTGTTTTCCTTTTGTCAATGCACTTCCACAGAAACTAAAGTCAGAACTCAACTGCCCAGAATTCATCAGTTTCAGTTTTGGAGGTTTCACAGCAGGAACCAGGCAGAGGGCGTTGTTCTCCCACAGCACACACAGACACAACTCAGAGAAGGAGAAGAAAGGAGTTACTGCCCACATGGAGGAGAAGCAGCAGGGCTGATGTTCTTTATTTCACCTGTTCTTCAGGCGGGGATCTTCAGCATGCACGCCTGTGAGGAAGGATTTGCCACCGGAGGACGGGACGGCTGCATCAGGCTGTGGGACGTCGACTTCAAACCCATCACCAAGATTGACCTGAGAGAGGCCGAGCAGGGATACAAAGGTCTGCACCTCACCATGACTGTCAGGGAAAAACGTGGTACCTGTTCCTGAATCCACCAGCTCACAGACCGTACCTATGGATGTGCCTTCAAGACTGAACTCTTGAACACATCAATGAAACAAAAAAGAATCTTCTGCTGTGAGATGTTTCCACGCTGACAGATGTGTTGTCTGTTGCAGGTCTGTCGATCCGCAGTGTTTGCTGGAAGGCTGATCGCATCCTGGCAGGGACTCAGGACAGTGAGATCTTCGAGGTGATGGTCCGAGAGCGGGACAAACCGGTTCTGCTGATGCAGGGTCACAGTGAGGGCGAGCTGTGGGCACTCGCCCTGCACCCCAAACAACCAGTCGCCATCACCGGGAGCGACGACCGCTCCGTCAGGTTGGTCTGACTCACTAACATCGGCATCCTCAACACTGCGGCCAGGCTGCTCGTTACCTGAGCTTATCTTGTCTGTCTCAGGCTGTGGAGTCTTCCTGACCACACTCTCTTGGCTCGCTGTAATATGGAGGAATCTGTCCGAAGTGTTTCCTTCAACAGCGACGGGTCTCAGCTCGCTCTGGGCATGAAGGACGGATCCTTCACTGTGCTGCGTGTCAGGTGAATGGGTCGAGCACTACAGTGTCAGTCGACTCTTTTATGTCTAAATCTTTGGGGCAAAATGAAACTTGATAGCTGTGATATTTTCTGTTTATACATTGATCCCCCATGAGTTTGACCCTCTGACCACTATCGACCAAAATTTCACCTTGTACACCAACAATAACTAACCAAACAACGTCCAATGATGCATTGCCATTAAGATGTGTATCATGATGGCTAACCCCTTGTTGTTGTTTACATAAAGTAGCAGGATGATAAAAGCTATTATTTTTTTGAGCCAGCTGCAAACTGAGAATATTAAAAGCTATTATTTTTTTGAGCCAGCTACAAACTGAGAATATTGTGGGACTTTTTTTGTGTCATCGAACATTGTTGCACCTGGTCGTTAATTAACCTATATTTAATCAGGAAAACCTCATTAAGAATAAAATATCTTCGAAGAGTGTCCTTGCTGAGCCAGAGAGCAATAACCCAGAGCTACAGACAAACAGCATATGTGAGATAAAACACCACAAAATCAGAATTAAATATACAGTAAATATGATTAGGAAACTATATGTAACATTTATAATACACATGGCATTAAAGATTTCATTGTGAAGACCAGTGACTGTTATTGTTTCGTTTGGCCTGACAGAAACCTATAAACAGTGAAGGAGAAGGTTGAGCTGTGGGGAGCTCACTGTCATGCCGGTCTGTTCGACCCTGGGATAAGTAACTGACCAAAATGGTTGTGGTCGGAGAACATTTCAGCGTTACTAAACCTACTGAGAACTAGTCTGACAGGTTCAAAGCGTCATTTACTGAGTATGACCGTGGCACACTTTATCTCCAGGGACATGACAGAGGTCGTGCACATCAAGGACAGGAAAGAAGTGATCCATGAGCTTAAGTTTTCTCCAGATGGCTCCTTCCTGGCGGTGGGATCAAACGATGGCCTGGTAGACGTGTACGCTGTGGCGCAGCGTTACAAGAAGCTGGGTGAGTGCAGCTGCTCTTCCTCCTTCATCACCCACCTGGACTGGTCAGTCGACAGCTGCTTCCTGCAGACAAACGATGGTGCGGGAGAGCGGCTCTTCTACAGGATGCCAGGTATTGATGTCATAGTCTGAAGCTTCAACGCACTGACAGTCAGTTTGTTTGTTTTTCACTAGTACTTGGGATGTAACCTGGAATTTACCTGTCTAGAGGTGGGGCTTGGCATGTGACTTGGAACTTACCTGTCTAGACTAAGGACTGGACTCTGTCCTTAACCTGTCTTGACATGGGACATGACTTTTGACTTATTTACTTCCCTGTTAGCCCTTACCTCCTGACCTTTGACCTCCACCTGTGCCCTCTAGCGGGGAAGGTGGTTCCTAAAGAGGAGGCGAAGGGGATCCACTGGATGACGTGGACGGGTGTTGTCGGACCAGAGGTGAATGGCATCTGGCCCAAGTACTCCAGCACCACTAATGTAAACTCTGTGGATGCCAACTACAGCGGTGCTGTGCTGGTGACCGGAGACGACCTCGGCCTCGTCAAGCTGTTCAGGTTCCCCTGCCTGAAGAAAGGTCAGTTCGGCAGACAGTCTGATCCACGTAGAACTGTTTTACCTTTTTGTTTCCTCAGGAACCTTACTTGTGTGTACCAGAGGAACCGCGGTCTGTAGTTAGCTCCTGGACACAGATTCTCCTGAATGATCAGATCTAACAGCTTGATTCATGAACTCCTTGGTTTTCCTCTGCAAGCTCTGCATCTTCTTCCTCAAGCAGGAGCCAAATTCAAGAAGTACATTGGTCACTCTGCTCATGTGACCAACGTTCGCTGGTCCAGTGACCTGCAGTGGGTCATTAGCACTGGTGGCGCCGACCATGCTGTCTTCCAGTGGAGGTTCCTGCCCGAGGGTGTCATGAACGGCGTCCTGGAGCCCCTCCTCCAAGGTAACACCACAGTTTACCTCCTAGATCATGACAGAGTAGCAGCTCAGTTCTGGCCCACATATTGTAAAACCACACAATCAACCCTTCAGAATGTGTTTGCAAGAGAACAACTCATTCTTAATCTGGGCCAGATTCAGGTCCAGACCTCGGCCAGCACCAGCCCTCCTTAGACCAGAGTGAATCCCTAAAGTCATCTTTGGGCCCAGTTTGGCCCAGAATCTGTATATCATCATAAAAGTATTGGCATCACCTGCTAATCTTTTTTCACCCTTTTCAAATACTAATAATTTGTTATCCCTAAATTACTATCTCTGAACACATCATTTATGTCCTAACGTACTATCTGTAAATGATCATTTATATCTTACATATACACTTACACTTTGTAATGTTTAATTCAGTGTTTGTTATTCCTAATTTACCTGTTAGCATTTAGCACTATATTGCATTTGTAGCAGCTCAGTCAGTGTTTAAACTTTTCAGTACCATTCATTGTCCTTAAATGTTCTTTTTTTAAATGATATATTGCTATTTGTCATCCCTAACCCCCCTCTGTAAATCTTAAATTAACATGTACATAACAATTATAACTTGTTGCAAGTTGTGACAATTTATCCCAGAAACACAAATTTGTCATACCTTAATTATCATGTAGCCTCAAATCAGCCGTAAATCATCTGTTGTAATAAAATCTTCATTTGTAAGCCATACATTGCTTTGTCATCCCCAAACCTTTGGTTAAAAGACAAAATAATTGTCAAAACATAATTATTCTCTTAAAATCACCATTTGTTTTCACTAAATCACCAATTTGTTAACTATAAATGTTGTATGAATCTAAATCACATCTGTAAACAAAACGTGTTATTCTAATTTGGAATAAACCAAACCATTTATTATATGTACATGAACATGTAACTGCTCAGTATCTTGATGTTGGATCCAGCACTTGTTTTCCCTGTAACTGCTCGTAAGATGTTGATCATAATCACATCTGTAAAGACTAAATCACCAGGTGTTGTCATTACTTTCTAGTTATTCCATGTGTAAAATCTCTATTAACTGCCTGCATGCTAATATGTTCACTCTGTAGCTCATTTGTAGTCTTTAAATTACAATTTGTTATCCCCAAATAGTCATAGAATATTAAATGAGCATCTGTCACCACATAAGTTGTTACCCTCAATTTAAAATGTGAAAATCAACATTTATCATTTGTGACATCACAGTTTTGAGCCTGAACTGCTCTTTATAAATTACAAATCATCGACCTATATGACCTGTAACGGACAGTATAGGACCAGTTAAAGGTTTGGACACCCTTTCTCGTTGAATTCACTGGAAAGATACAGTATTATTAGTCTGTCACTGCAATTCCTCGGTCAACTCTGTATGGTCTTAAACATCTCTGAAGTGTTGCCATTTGTTATCCCAAAAGGAACCGTCTGCACATATGCAGTCTTTGAAATCACCATTTGCTATCCCTAGGTATTCATATAACCCTCACTAAAATGTTAACTGTTTTTTGCTGGTTGGTGTCTTCAGAGGGTTACGCTGACTCAAACAGTGGAGAGTCTGACTCGGACGTGTCGGACGTCCTGGAGCTTGACTCGGACATTGAACAGGAAGCTCAGACCAGCTACGAACGACAGGTGACCGGAAAATAAACCAGTCGCACTCTGTAAATAATCGACATTAAACCTGTGTGACTCACCTTTCTTTGCAGGTATATAAGGAGGAGCTGCCTCAGCTGAGGAAGAAGCTGATTGGTTGTCTGAAGCGCCAGAAAGCTCCGGAGGAGGGGCTTTGTCTGCAGTTTGTCCATGGGTATAAATCTACTAATAAAACAACACAGAGTGAAAACAGAAACATCATATCAACAAACTTTAGTGCTGAAATCAACACAAATCATCTGTTTTTGTGTTAACATTTATGAAAAATGGTATTTATTATAGTTAATATTGACATGTAATATCTAAAAATGCTAAATATGATGAGTACAATACTTTAGATCACAAAAGCAAAACATCTTTATGGTAGTGATGACTAATGTAACAGGTCGTATGATACAGAGGAGTTGTGATGGTTTGTGTCTCTCTGTGTGGAGTTGTGTCCTCTGGGTACTCTGGCTTCCTCCCACAGTCCAAAGATGCTGAGTTGGACATCGGCATAAAAACTGTTCCAAACGGACCACAGTGCTCCTCTGTGGTGACCCCCACTCAGCGAGGAGCAGCCAAAAGAACAGCAGCATTAATATTAAAAGTTGACTACTGTTTTAAATGTCTTTGTCTTACTTTTAAAACATTCATCTGGATGTCATGAAGACCAAATAATAGTTGTGCATAATGTGAAATGTTAGATACAAGTTTTTTAAGTCAGTGTTTTAAAAGTCCTCTCTGGTTCTCCGCAGTGTTTTGTATGCTGACCTGCCATGATCTTGATTGTGGCCTCTTTCCTGCAGGTATCGGGGATTTGACTGTCGTAACAACCTATTCTACAGTCAGGCGGGGGAGGTGGTGTACCACGTGGCTGCCATCGCCATTGTATACAACCGGCTGCAGCACAGTCAGAGGTTTTACCTCGGCCATGACGACGACATCCTTAGCCTTGCCATCCACCCACTCAAAGACTATGTGGCCTCCGCTCAGGTACACCCGGCCAACAGACATTTTCTGATCCTAGTCAAGTCAGTTTTTATTATGCCTTAGTGCTGACGAAAGTCCGTCCGTCTGTCCTGTTCTTGTGAGCGTGATATGTCAGGAACACCTTGAGGGAATGTCTTCAGGTTTGGTACAAACATCCACTTGGATTCAAGGATGGCTGATTAGATTTTGGTGGTCAAAATTTAAAAGTCAAGGTCACTGTATCCTCACATCTGTCCCATTTCTGTGAATTTGACTGGTAGGCGGAGGCATACGACCGCTCTAATTCTAGTTCGTATAGCCCAATATCACAAATCAGACAGAGCAAGAGTGTTTCTGATTGGCTGTGTGTGCGTTCAGGTGTGCAGAGACCCTGCCATCCACATCTGGGACATCCAGACTCTGAAGTGTCTGTCGCTCCTGAAGGGACACCACAGCAAAGGAGTGTGTGCTCTGGAGTTCACAGGTACACTCACCGCACAGTGCGCTGTTTGGTTTCCCTTAGTCACGGCCAGTTGGCGGCCTTAATAACCAGCTGTTAAGCCTAAACTGTTGATTGTAAAACCTTCAATTTATTTTTAAATCCCAGTCTATGAACAGTAAATCACCATTTGTTATCCCTACATTACCACCCGTAAACTAAAAATCATCAGCTGCAAAGCTATTACGTACAGTGGGTACGGAAAGTATTCAGACCCCCTTAAATTTTTCACTCTTTGTTATATTGCAGCCATATGCTAAAATCATTTAAGTTCATTTTTTTCCTCATTAATGTACACACAGCACCCCATATTGACAGAAAAACACAGAATGTTTGACATTTTTGCAGATTTATTAAAAAAGAAAAACTGAAATATCACATGGTCATAAGTATTCAGACCCTTTGCTCAGTATTTAGTAGAAGCACCCTTTTGAGCTAATACAGCCATGAGTCTTTTTGGGAATGATGCAACAAGTTTTTCACACCTGCATTTGGGGATCCTCTGCCATTCCTCCTTGCAGATCCCCTCCAGTTCTGTCAGGTTGGATGGTCAACGTTGGTGGACAGCCATTTTCAGGTCTCTCCAGAGATGCTCAATGGGGTTTAAGTCAGG